TGGGGCGTAGCCTTGCTGGCCTGGGTAAGGGTGGGGCCCACAGTTTCTTATTATTTTTTATGGGGTTTAGCCTGGAATAGAGTGGCTATTGTCTAAACATTTTCATCTTACTAGGCTGCTCCTTTCCTGGGCCTTGGCTGGGGAGAATGGCCTTTTGTTGGGGCTTTTTTGCCTTTGCCCATTGGCATTTCAGGGCTGCTGGCACCTTCAGCTCTAAGTCTGGGCCACTTAACCCACCACTGTGCTGTTCCTCGGTACTGAGGTCCCCAGTTGGTCTTCCTTCTCTCTACCTTTCAGACTCTTTTTTATGCTTGTTTTTGTATAACGTCCAGGGATTTTTTTAAAAAATTGTATTTATTGGGAAGCATAGGAAAAAGTACATCTATTCTACCTTCTTGGAAGTAGAAGCTTTAACTAGTTTTCTGCGTGGTGATTTTTTTCACTCCCCCATAACATTGAAAGTATTGAAAAAATTTTAAGTAGGTGTATTAAAGCTCACAGCGTTCTTTTAGTTTTAAGTATTTTATCAATACCAAAACCATAATTTGTTATAATTTTACTTCCCTGGCTTGAATGGAAGCAAACTTATCAAAACAATTTTCCTCAAAATCTACTTCTGGAAAAATATTAACTATGAAAAAAAAAAGAACACAGAACAGCTCTGGCTGGTTCTGCTCAATGGTTAGAGCGTTGGCCGGCACACTGCCTCACTGACATGTTACTTTTCCTCAGGCTACAAGACGGCAGGGCATAGTTCTCTTGGATCCTGTCTTTACTTAAAACTTTGATACTTTATTCATTATGGATGTTTTTGCATTGATTTTGACCTTTTTTAAATTGCATGACTTATTTACCTTGATGACTGAGCTTTTGGGTGTCCCTTTAAGTTTTGCATCTCAGACAACAGTCCCAGACTGAGCAGGGCAATGTTTTTTGTTTGGGTAAAGTAGTGGGCAGGCTCCAGATCTCGCTCACAGTTTATGTCTTTACCTCAAAGGGTGGATTAACGCAGATGTAGAGAAAGGACAGCTGAGGAGGCAAGCATGAGCCTCCCTGGCTGTGAAGGTTCTCCTGCGATAGGATGCTCTGTAAATAGGAAGTGAGAACTGCAGAAATGAGGGCCTTTCAGCTGAGCCCCATCCAGGGCACGGGCTGTACTGGACATACTAGACTTTCCGCTGAGGTAGGACCTCTGCTGTCCGGCTCCCATCCACCTGCAAGAGGGAAGGTCCCAGAACCTGTGTACACTAGACCAGGAAGAGGACAAGCTTCTAGGGCTTTGGGGGTCTGGCCTCGTGGTGGCATTCTCATTCAATTCTTCTGACATGAGGTAGGTGTTGCTATCACGTCATTTTACAGATGAAGCAGCTTGGGCTGCCCCTTGGGAAGAGAGGATGCTTGCTGCCATCCAGTGCTGTGCATGCCGTCCTGTCTTACCCTCAGGAATTCCCCCTCTGCCAGCCCTGGGCACACACTCAGGAGTTCCTGGAACACCTTTCTGCTGCCTGGGCTGTAGGCTCAGCCGCTCCAAGATCAGCTTGATGTCACCTTACTTCCCTGCCCGGCTTGAACACAATGTCCTTCCTGGCTTTCTCACCCAGCCAGCCTCCTGGCTATATTTAGGACTTTCCACTGTCTGCACACCAAAGCATTCAACCCTTTCTCACGGTCTGCAGAGGGGCAAATCAGAGATCGTCAGGCACCTATGGTGGGAGAAAGCGTTTCTCTGGAGTCCACTAGCCTCTAGTATTTCTTGTGGCCATGCTCTCCCCTGCTCAGGTTTGGGTTGAAATACCCGGGTTATTAGAACACCCAGGCTGGGGCCAGGCCTGGGAGGAGGCTTGCTAACGCCTACTGGCCTCTAGTGGCGAATAGTTACTAGTCAACCTTTCATCAGGCTGCCGACCTTTTTACCCCAAACAACCTTTTTTCCCCCACTTGTCCTGAACCCCATACTTCTAAGGTTTTTTCCTTACTTCCAAATAAAACTTTATTAAGTAATGATTACTTCCCTAGTTCTTAGGGAGTCAAAGATTCATCTAACACTTCTGATCAGCATGAAATAACCAGTTGCTATGCTAAAGGCACAGAAGCTTGATGCATCATTTTCTGTAAAACTCCATGCATGATTTTAAATGGACAAGAGACTTAGGTCTCTCATGACAATGGAAAAGATTTTAGCGATCGTGTCCTACCCTCTCATTTATAGACAAGAGAACCTGCTCAGAGTCACTAAGTTAATGACATAAGGTTACACAATGAAACTTCTTTGGACAAAGATCCGTTGTTTTTCCTGTGAGAGCCTTTAGGGTTGGGTCAGGGAGGGCCCTCCTGCAGGACCAGTAGAGGTCTGGGCTGTGCCTGACCTCCTGGGCCTGCTATGCCCTGGGTCAGGTTCCAGGGCGCTATGCTGTGGACCGGTCATTTTCTAGCGCCCAGACCCACAGCATTGCTGCTTTCCCTCCTCCCCATGGGGTGGATTTTTCCCCTAAAACCAAGGGAGGCGTCTCCCTGTCTTCATTTGCGGTTTTGGCTTTGTGTTCTCTAATGCCGGCCTGCCTTCTGGTCTCTCAGTCTGGATTCCCAAGCCACCCTGGGTATCATAGATTTGATGGAGAAGAAGGGTTAGAAGCCCCAACTTTCTAAGAGTGACACGTGTCTGGGTCCGGGGTATATTGTGTAGGAGCCCCCCAGCCTCTTCTAACAGGCCCTGCTTCTCAGGTGACCCGGCGCTTCGGGATCCCGGGGCTGAAGAAAGCCATGGACTGGCTTGGCTACTACGGAGGCCCCTGCCGGGCCCCCTTGCAGGAGCTGAGCCCTGAGGAGGAGGAGGAGCTGCGCCTGCATTTCACCAACAATGGCTGGCTCTGAGGGCAAAGCGGACAGGCGGGAGCCCATCTCAGCTCCTGACTTGTACTCGCAGCCCGAAGAGAAACACGGGGACAAGGGGGTTCGTGGCTCCTTTTCCGACTTCAGTCCGTCAGGTGCCTCTTACCAGGTGCTATGCAAGCCCATTTCCTAGTCTTACAGCCCCACGGCTTCTTGAATTTGTATCCTAAACGCTGGGTCTCTGGAGACCTCCAGTCTGGACAGGAGCACTTGCTTACTTGGTTCTCTACCGTGGTTCCTATGCCCCCAAGACACGGGAGCCGGGCCAGAGGGGAGGCGCAGGGAGCTGGGCACAGGAGGGCTCTGTGTCTGAAGGAAGGACTCCTTAGACTTGGAGACACGAGCCTGATTCCAGCACATGCAGGGAGCCAGGGCCACTCTAAGAACCCAAGTTCTGACTCTTTCCTAGGGATCTGATCAGAAAAATCTCACTTGTCTTTGAAAGCCCTCCCACCACAAGATGCATTCCAGCCGCAGTGCCCTTCCCACAGTCCCTTTTGATTCATCTCATATTCTTGTCTCTAGCTTTGTTCTCAACTGTCAAGTGCACAGCGAACAACCCAGAATTGGTAAATAATGACACCTAGTGGATAGATGTTACATTCTAGAGGACTGTTGTCATCACAGGTCTGAACCATTCGGGAGGGGCGTGGCCTGAGAGGACCATCCTCTTGCCTATAGGCACTCTGCTTTTATTGTTAAAATAATCACTTCATTATTGTAATAAAGTCTAATAAGTTAAACTAGTGTGGCTCTATAGAGATTGATACTACACTGCTATGCATTCCTTAGGTGTCCTGCCCAGATATCCAGAACCTACCTAGAGGCAATTTAGCTCTCAAGGTCTGCTTTTTCCCAGCTCTGAGAAAAAACTAAGCAAACACAGGCATTAAATCAGTGACAACGAGGGTAAGGCTGATTGAAGTTTTAAATGGGAGAGGTAAAAAGGTTCAACTGACATATTTAGAAACATTTAGCACATTAATCGGAAAGGCCGCTTTCTCCAAAATGTTTAACCTTCCTCATGATATCTGACAAGTGGCAGAAAACCTGATATGAATTTTTTTTTAATTACTCTGGTTTAAAAAAAGGTAAACGGATTTCTTGCTTAGGGCAAAGGCTTGGAGAGAAAGTAAAAAGTATCACTTTTCAACTAAAACTGGGCATCTGACTGGCTGAAGCTTGGCGCTTAGCACCTGGACTCTTCTCACAGGCAACGTCTAGATCTGAGCTCAGAGGAGAATCCGGTTCAGGGAAGGACCAAGGAGTTAGGGCTCGGGAGGCAGGCGAGTGTCCTGGCGAAGGGCTCGGCCCCTGGGCTCACACAGCCTGGGCTGAAGCTCTGGGATCTGCCCCTTAGTGTCTGCAGGACCTTTGGAAACTACTAACTGCCCTGAGCTTTCTCTGCAGCATCTTCCTCCCAGGCCTGTGTATGAGCAGGGTACACAAGGGTTAGTGCGGCAGGGGATATGCGGACAAAGGGAGACCTGGGCAGGAGTGACTGGCCTCAGGTAACCCAGCAGGTGTGACAGTAACTGGTCTCAGTGGGCACCGATGCTCAGGAGGAGGGGAGCACAGGGGAAGGTGCTTTGGGATCAGAAAGACCTGGAATCAAACCCCACCTGGCTCTGCCACTAGTTTGGACAACCTGAGCCTGAATTTTTAAAAACTGAATTTATTGGGATGACATTGGTTAAAATGCCTGATTTTTTTAAAATGCTCCTACTGTGCAGAGGGTTTTTAAAAATATATTTTTACTGATTTCAGAGAGGGAGAGGGAGATAGATAGAAACATCAATGATGAGAATCATCAATCGGCTAACTTTTGCACACCCCCTACTGAGGATCAAGCCCACAACCTGGGCATGTGCCCTTGACCAGAATCAAACATGGGACCTTTCAGTCCACAGGCTGACACTCTATTCACTGAGCCAAACGAGCAAAAGCTGTGCAGAGATTTTGATAATCAGATGATATATATATAGTAAAGTGTGCAGTGTCAGTTCCAAGCCCCCATCTGTAACTAATGTTTATTTTTAAATATTTTTATTGATTTTTAGAGAGAGAAGAAGGGAGAGGGAGAGAGAAACATCAATATGAGAGTGAAATATCAATTGGTTGTCTCCTACATGGCTCCCCATTGGGGATCGAGCCCGAAACCCTGGCATGTGCCCTGACTGGGAGTTGAACCAATGACCTCTCTCAGTGCTTGGAACAACACTCAACCAGCTGAACCACACTGGCCAGGGCTGTGATTAATTTTTATTTTTTAAATATATATATATTTTATTTCAGAGAGGAAGGGAGAGGGAGAGAGAGACAGAAACATCAATGATGAGAGAGAATCATTGATCGGCTGCCTTCTGCACACCCCACAATAGGGATCGAGCCCGCAACCCAGGCATGTGCCCTGACCGGGAATCGAACCGCGATCTCCTGGTTCATAGGTCGATGCTCAACCACTGAGCCACGCCGGCCGGGCTGTGATTAATTTTTAGAAACAACAAATGGGTTAATATTCATGAGGACACATAACAGGAAAGCCAAGAAAACTAAGTATATGCAGTTCTGGTAGTTTTATTCCTCGTAAACACCTGTTTCTACAGTACCATTCAAAGAATAAATAGAGGCACACGGCTATAATTTCCACCATAATCTGCTATTGAGGAGACATTCAGTGTGAGGATAAGGGGGAGAGGGGGGTGGGGTGGGGTGTGTTTGGATCACAGGGTAACTGGAGGCCTCTGTGAAGAACTGTGTAGGGACCCTATCAATCAAGATCTGATCCCCAGGCCTGATGGCCAAGGCTTGTGGTGGAAGAGTTACAGTGAACCAAATGCAAGGAGCCTAATGCTCAGTTAGTTCACCAGGGTTCTCCAATTCTACCTAAACTATTGGTCCACTGGGAAGGAGCTATGTCAGCTCTAAGGATTCAGTTCACTCCATGGTAGGACCTGATATGGCCCAGAGAGGTCTGCCCTTTGCCCTGAACTATGTAATAAATACAAGTTATAAAATAACTGTTTACATCAGTCTCTTCCTTGACTATCCCATAAAGGAATCCTGTCCCATGTCTAATGAAGGAGAGAGGCACAAATAGGGAGTATCTGCTAGAATTCAGGTAAGCAAGGCAGCTTGTAAAGTCAGGGAAAGGGAAATAGCACTGTTACCTAATCCTTCACGGGGGGATATATGTGGATCACCCCCTCCCCCCCAATACAAGCAGAATGAAGAGATCCTGCATCACTTAGCAGAAAAGGAAGTACAAGGCAGCGGCAGGTCTGCACTGGGTAACCAGGGTGTTAGGGACGGAGAGTACCAACAGCGAGTCAAGGAAAAGACAGAACTGGTAACCACTCTGCAGGGCCTGGGCCATAGTCCTCAGAACTTCTCTGTGGTCGCACCCCTGCCTGGCAGGTGACGTGGCACAGCGCACGGTCATGCCATCTCCTCTCACATCTGGTTCACTTGTTCACCTTGTCTGAACAGCGGGGCATCTGCTTTACCCAGTACTTGTCAGCTGGGGCACAAAGCGCCCATCAGGCGGTGAGGTTCCTGGCTGACTTGGAGGCGCTCTGGGCTCGCTGTACGACCGCGGAACACTTCTCACGCCGCAGCAGCTTGTTGTTCTCGAACAGACCTTCGTTGCGGGGTATTCCGTGGGACCCGTCGGGGAACGTCAGCAGGCCTTTGAGGGAGAAAGGAAGTATGGGAGTGACCATGGCATTAATGATTCAGAGAACAGCTTGACAGGTAGAGGCCGAGGAAAAGAGAACCTCACAGCCTTCTCAGGAGGACCCTGGCAGTAAGTTCGACGAACAGGCAGGTGTTAGGGCACGGTCACTATGGATTAAAGCGAACAAGGTATACGTCCACCCATACTGTGCTCACCTAAGTCTCCCTTCCTGCTGGGCTGCAACTTACCAAAGCCATCTACTCTGCCATTTTTAAATTCCCCCTCAAAGGTCATGTTGTCGTGTCGAATGAAGACTCCGACGCCATTAAACTTGCCCTGGGCAAACTCCCCCTCATATCTGCAGAAACACAAGACGTTAGCCTTTGGTGGGGTAGTGACCTGTCCAGGTTAACTCTTACAAGCAGCTACCAATATGTGTTATTTATTAATGCCAAGGAGCAAAGCTGACTCCACTTACCTCAGAGCTCTACCCACCCCAGTCTCATTCAGCAGAGGAGGGTCAGAGAGCATGTATGTGAGGCCCTGATCTCAAGGAAATAACAGAGCAGTGGGGGGAGGGAGTCACTCACCTCTTGCCATTTCAAACTTTAGATCCATAAAAAACGAATGCTACTCCCTGCCTATTTTCAGAGGGCCTAGAACAAGCTCTTGTTTGACCAGATATTTATTACTATCATTTTTAGATCAGATTCTCCCTAGTTTAAGGCTGAGAAAAGAATGAACCAGTACCCACCTTGAGCCATCTGAGAAGGTCAGTACCCCAAAGCCACAGAAGAGCCCATTCTCAAAATGACCGAGGTAGGTGCCACCATCTGCAAACATCAGTTGACCAAAACCATGTCTGCGGCCTGAGCAAAGAGAAGGACAGATGTCAGGTTGGGATGGGGCAGCTTCCGGGTCCCCTCTCACTGTCTAACATCCCTTACCTTCCACACCCGACCCACAAAGGAAAGAAGAGAAGCAGTGACATTATCAGGGAAGAGGACAAATACCCAGAGTCACAACCTGGCTCCTGCGACCTTCCCATCTTAAGTCACAGCCATCAGATTTGGAGCAGGTCTCTCTAAGCATGAAAGATAAGAGAGGACTTACAAATAGCACATAGTGCCTTATGGTGTGCCGGCACTCTCCTAAGCACTTCGTATATATCATCTTATTTAATCCTCACGAGAGCCTAATGAGGTAGGTATAGCGCTACTATTATTTTCATTTAACAGATGTGGAAACCAAGGGAAAAAGAAGCTAAATAATTTGCTCAAGATCCTAGAGCAATTAATTCATAGAGCGAGAATGCAAACACAGCAGGCAACCTGACCTGACAGCCCTCAACACTTAACTACATTGCCACTCGGAGAAAAATAAAAGTATAGCACTTAGCACTGTGAAGCTACTGTGCAAACCTATCAGCCTGACTGGCAACACTGGCTTGAGCTCTGCTACACCAGTAAGACTGAGCTCACCCACTGCCCTGGCCAGAAAACAGGGCAAGAGGCAGCTCTTTTGAGGGGCAGACTCCAGCAGAGCCTCAGGAAGCCTCTCCGCTCAAGGTCATATTAAAGAGGACAGCAGGTGCTTAGGAGGCAGGAGAAAGGCTGGCGATGTTCGGAGTCAAGGTCACATCCCACCTGCACAGTTTCTCCTCTCGAGGCTCAAGAATTCATCAGCTACAGGCTCTGCCATGAAAAGAATGAGGCACGTGCCTGGACAGTGTGAAATGTTCTTCATTGACACAACTGCCTCCTGGGGGC